GCAGATCCGGCTCTGCACCGACTGCACAGAGGCGCACTCTGGCTTGAACTAAGATGAATGGGGTAATTGGATTTCCTTTGTTCCAAAAGCCAGGGGTGAGCAGAGCCCCCACTAATGCCTGATACACCCCTCCCTCCCCGTCTGCTCTCCCCACACGTGCTATGTGTAGGCATGTGCTTACCCAGCTCAGACAGACGCTATCGTGATCTTCTGGGATGGTGTAACAGCTGCTGAAACTCGGCTCCTTTTGGTGAATGAGGGCTAGTGCCTGAAAGAGGCAAATAAAATGTCACAGTGTTAAACGTGGGGAAGCAGAATGGGCTCCGTACAAGGCTGAGATCATTGGGAAATATTTTCAGAGCCTGGTGGCTGTTGCACGCTTCTTTCCCAAATCAAATTCGACTTAGCCTGGCACCTATGAGCCCCAGTTGTGGACCCAGCACCCCCTTATGCTCTCCACCCTCCCTGCACCAAGGTGTATGCCAGACGGGAGCGAGCTCTACCTCATAATCCGGCTCTTCTTTCTCCACGTGGCGGGAGGTGGGTAGCAGGCAGTCAGATTTGCTGTCATCATTGCAGTCCTGGGGCAGCAAGTAACTGCGATAGGAGCTGTGTGGAGGGGACAAAAGACAAAGATACCGGCCCGCTGGGTGAATGCGCATGGTCCATAAATGCCTTTGAACGGTCACACTGAGGTAGCATTAGGTCTTGCTCTTAGGGTGCGTCTAGCTCTAGCGCAACGTGAAAGGGCAGCTGATGCAGTGGCTGAAGCTAACGTTGGTGAAGACACCGATTAGGAACTGGCGCAAGCAGTGTATACAGGGTGTCCGGACTGTCGATATCTGCGATTTACACTTCACAGCGTGTAGGCTGCGGGCAAACCAGCACCGGCTTTATTAAGCATAGTAGGATTCACAGGAGAAAATAGTGGTTGCTGGGTTATTGATAAATGCAGGGCTAAACAGCGCAGGAGCATCCCTTTTGTCACGTGTGCTGCTTGCTGGTTTGCAATCGTAGACTACGGCAGCGGTGGACCCAGCTAATCTCGCAGCCCAGCCAGGACAGCAGCAATGCCAGAGTTCACAAAACCTGCGTGGGCTTGGGCATCCTGCAGCAGGTTATATCTACATATATAAGTCTTTGGGTCTGTTCCCACAATGAGCATGTCTAGCTCCTGTTGGCACTTTGGGAGCGAACCCAGCAAACTGTGCATACCTGTCCAGGTAGAAATTGAAGCACGAGGGGATGCAGTGCCCCCTGTTTGGGCACGGCTTATCCCACCAGCTGGCCTCAGTCTGGGTTGTAGCATCAGATGTCTGGGGAGGTTTGCGGGGCGGTTTCTCTCTCCGCACTTCCAGCGTGACCTGTTCCTCGGCACTCTGAAGTATTTCCAGTGCCTCCCGCAGGCTGACAGTGGAGATATCCTGTCCATTGACCTGGGGGAAGGGTGGAGAGTTAGAGAATGAAAGATTAAATGTTTCCCTCCTGCCCAAAACTCTGCAAATAAAACCAGTATCCAGTTAACTTGTCTCCCCGGCTATTACCATTTGCTGGCTCCTGTTACAGCTATGAGAGCCATCAAAGTATGTCCCTTGCTAGAGGCCCAAAACCCATTACGCCCCAAGTAAAAGTTGCGCTGCAGAGATGCTGAATGCAGCGGATCCTGAAACGCTTCTGCGATCACCGTGGAATTGTCATTACAGTAAAATAAGGCCTTGCTTGCTTATAATCTTCCACTCATGAACTGAGATTGGTGTGGGCATTCGCATTTCGGTTTGCTTGGCTGCTTTCCCTGCACACGTTCCTGACGGGCTCATGTGGCAGAGCAGTTTTAAGCTGCCTTTTGCTTCTTGTTTAAGATCACAACGTGAGCAAAGGAGCACAGCTGTATGCATGCACAAGTCCTTAGATTCTTATTTCTCACCTCCGCTTGAGGTCCCCAGCAAGGCAATGTGCCCCATCCACAGCTCCTAAGGAACAGCAGCCTCACCGGGGATGTGTGCTTACTCGGGCTTCGGACTCATAGGGAGTTTGCCTGATTGTATTTATCTAATCCAGCGCTCTGCTGTGAACTGGCTTCTTTGATGCAGCATGTCCCACGGATGTAGGAGGCATCCACCCCCCACCTTTTTCCCCCATTTTTGCAACAAGAAAGCAAATCTATAATGAGAACTGATGGAAAGGAGCTTTGTAATTCAGGTGCCCCTCTTTCGAGGCTCCAGGGGAGGAGGCTAGTGCCAGCAGTGCCTCTGCATGTTCTTGAGTTGTCATAACCCAACAGGGAATCAGGAAGAGTCCCGCTGTGGTCTTATTTGAGACCGGCTGCAGAATTCCCCGCTGTGCCCAAGGACTCTCCAAAGAGCAGAGCCAGATGCGTGCTCTGGTAGGAAGCAAACAGTTAATCTAGCAAAGAATGGCTGCCCATCTGGATGGGTCTCCCCACACTTTGTAATGTAAATGCAGAGCTTATATACTGTGGTGATGGGAGCTTTAGAAATGCAGAGAGGTTGCACCTAGGGGACTTGGCCAAGCCATTGTACCATTCTCAAATGGAGGAGATTGGGGTGGAGATAGGCACTTTGCCTTTCTATAGCAATTAAGGGCTGCAACTGCTGTGAAAAGTTGGTGTTACCCCTATTTCAATGCTAGGGAAACCAACGCCAAGGCCAATACTTTCCAAAAGGTGCCCATTAACTGAGACGTAGTGCTGGTGCACCATGATTCTGACTCATGGTGGGGCGTAGAGGGGGACAAAGGTTCACCTTGACCAACCAGTGTTGAAAACAGTGCTTGGTCTTTCTACACTTTGCCCTCTAAAACCCGCCACTCAGAATAAGTGGGTCAGCAGACTTGCTGAGAAAGGGTAGGACTTGGGTGGTGCAGGGGGACATCATTTGGATGACAGGATCTTCAAGGAGGCCAATAGCAGGGGTTACAATTTTGGAGGATGCTCGCTCCATCCCTGCCTTTGCTCATCCCCGTTTTGCCAGTGTCCTGGTGGCAGTTAATGTCCATTCCTCTGAGTAAGCCACCCCAGATCCAACTGGTTGTACTACGAGAAAAAATGCCTTTTTTTTTTTTGTGCTTGTAACCTACAGCAGGGCACCTCTGTTCCTCCTCCTCCACCCAGCCCTGGCCGTTGCTGCCTGTCTCTGATTTCACATGCAGGGGCAGAGCTGTGACAGGGGCTCAAACTGGATGGAGTAAATTGCTGCTTATGAAAGCTTATGCAGCTATGTCTCTGATAGAGTTAGGCTATAAGGTGCAAAACTACTCTGCCTTCTGCCTGACTTCAGATAAACCCGGCTTACTATCTCAGCCTGAACCCAGCGCTGTTATGTGGACTCTGCAGGAGGCTCTTTGCAGTTGCTACCAAAGGCCCTGATCATTAGGAAATGATTAGCTTGCCCTTTTCCAAATTAGCCATGCTGCATGTGGGAAGAAGTTCAATTTGCTAATGACATTACTGCAAACACGAGGTCATTACAGAGCTGGGGAACAGAGGCAGCTGTTGCAATCACTGGTGCCTGTTGAAGCTCATTTAAATTGAAAAGCTGGATTGTCTTAACTTTGGGCACGTGGATGAGGGCAGAGAGGTGTGACTCAATACGGTCTCTGTCTCCTGAACACGGAGCTTTCTCAGGTCAGCTTGGACCCCTCTTTGCTGGACGTTACGGTATTTCATTTGTCTACATCAAATAACCGATGACATCAAATTTGTGGCTATTTGCATTTTATAGTTGTCTGTATCCTGTATGGGATAACTGCTCAGAACTTGCCCAGGCACAATTCTGATTTTCTGATCCTAAAAGCAGAAGGCTGTCCATTATAGGGTGTGTGACACACTCGTGAACAATTAGGGTCCCCCCCGGGAGAGGGCAACGACGTGTGCTCATATATGCACAGCAGCTCACAGCCCCACTTTGTAGGCTCTTATTTATCTTCTATGCAACAAAGTGGGTATTTTGCACTATTACTTGGCTTGTGTTGGCTCCCTTGTAAAGTCAACTCCAGCCAGTATGAACTATCAGATCAGGGAAAAAATTTCTTGGGTATGCCTGGGACTGTTGGGTAGAGCAACTGGCCTTTTCACTTGCTTCTGCAGCTGCAGAAAGACACGGAGCTTACAAAGGACTGCGACATGTGTGTCCTTTTTCTCCTCAAAGCACCCAGCTTTTTTTTTTTTTTCTACAAGCAAAATATCTGCCCCACTCTCCCAACCCCATTCCCTTTGCCTCAGCCCTGCCCTGATCCTTATTCTGAATAAAAGAGGTGGCTGAAGTTATACAGAGCTAGCAATTTGGCACTTTCCTTTAAGGCCAGTAGAACACGCTTGCTGTTATATGCCGCTTTGTGCCATCCGTATATATTAAAGCCTTTTACAAGATGTAGATGCGTCTGATCCTGTAAGCACTAGCCCTACCAAAAGATAATTAGGTGGGCATCATGAGTTCATGGACAGCTTGGGGAACTGACTGTAAGTCTCTAACCTATAGAGCTTCCATGGATTTCAGGGAGTTGGGAAATAAGTGTGGAATATGCTCTTCGCTGCTTAGAAGTCCATGTGAATCCATGCAAGGTTAGTTGCCTAAGGTACTAACTTATTCTGAGTGAATAAGCTCAGAACTGCTCAACTCTGGGCCAAAATGTGCTGTCTTGCTAATGCCCATTATTCTGTTGTCTAGTTGGTAGGAGTTTGTGCTTTTGGAGATGCATGTTCTCTCTCTGACTGGGCTGATGGGAACCTGGGGTAGAGCCTACACAGCAAGACTACACGGGGCTGCTAATAATTGTAGTATTTGCCAGTGCTTTCCTCTTCACTTTTCCCAGGAAATATGAAGCAGCTTGCTGAGTTTTTTTTTTTTAATGGAACCTTTTATGAATTAATTGGCTTTTCCATATTATTATTTCTACTCCGTGCCTATCTTGGGAATAATCGGTTTATAGCTGGGGAAAGGCTTGCACAGAAAGCACCGTAAGTGCTAGCTATGATCAGTTTATTTATCTAGTTGGTCTTAAATATTGTAAGATGGCATCATGAATTTAGTGCTGTTGCCTTTATTCTCAGCAGGAGAATTTTTGTTCATTCTGTATTAAAATATTCAGATTTTCAAAAGAGCACAGCTTGCATATAGGCCCCAACACAAATGGGCAGATGTTCAAATGCCAGAGCGCTGAGTCCTTTTGACAACCAAAGGCAGACAAGTTGCTTTGGATAAATTTGATATCTTCATTAGACCAACTAAAATCTTTGCTGGTACCTTCAGTGATCCAGTACCTTTGACAACCGAAGGTACTGGATCACTGGAAACCTGGCCCCAAGCCGTCTTGAATCGCTAACTTAGCATAACAACAAAACCCACAAATGGGTAGAACGTGATGTTTTTAGGACGTCACCCAGATGATGTTTCTAGGATGTCATTCCACCACAATTCTGCAAAATGCAAGCATTGCTATGCAATATGCACCCTGGTGCCTACACAGATAACCTTTCATCACGGTAGCGTAAGAGTGAAACGACGTGGCCATGAACAGTTCATAAATTGGCTGGAAACGAATACCCACTAATATCGAGCTTGTGGCACATATTATAACGTATCCAATTCCTGAATTCTTTCCACACGTGGAAAGTGTGATTGACCCTCCTCCCTTTAGATAGGCCTTGATCTCCCAATAATGAGCTTTTCTCCCTTTCTTCTGCTAATTGAGCGTCTGCCACCCTTGAGATTTTCTCCCAGCCCCTCCCCTCTGCTGTGTTTCCCTATGCCTGCTTGGCTTCCTGGGATCAGACCTGATGAAAAATGTCTTGCATTTGAAAGCTTGTCTAACTCTATCCCCATAGTTGATTCAATAAAAGAAAACTCCCTAAGAAATTCTCGCTTATTATTATGGACACCAGCGGCTCATCCCTCTTCCTACCTAAGGAAGTGGGTGGAAACCGACTTGGCTGAGCTAAGAGGAAGGTGTCCTTAGTGCAGGTAGCAGTCTGTACTCTCTCTTGCACATCTTGGCTATAACACTTTACTCGCATAGAAGCAGAAGGTAGTTTACTCATACCTTAATTTGGTCCCAGCACGAGAAGAGAAAAATCATGTCCAATCACTCCCTTTTTTCCCAGGCTTTCTTTTCAGCCCCTGGAGAACGTAGTTGCCTCTGTTGATCTTTCAGGCCCAATTCAGATTCTGTGGCTCTCTCTGTCCCAAACTTACGAGCTCGCTCAAATGAGCAACTGTCGTCTTCTTTCTCTGCATCCCTTGCATTTAAAAAGGCTGCACATGTTTATGTTTCCAGTGGGAGAGGGGCCTTTCCTTACTGCCCTTTGGCCAATCCCAGGGCTAGTCTGTTTAAGCCTGTTTGCTCATTGTGGAGACTGGCGGCCTCTACTTAATGCTTTTTCAATGTGGGGTTTATTTTGCTCCCTGCATCCAGCTGTGTGCATGTGGGAGGAGGGACGGGACACCAGGAGATGGTCAGTCTGTCCCCTCTCCATGCCCATTTGAACAAAGTGAATCAACAGTTGTGTAGGAAGTGATTAACTAAATCTCTGTGCTAATATCCAGACTCTGCCACCCAGTCTTTAGGGATCTAAAAAGCAATGTCCATTGTAGTGTCCACAGCAAACATTACAGGATTAGAAGAAAAAAACCCAGTAGCCAACCAGATTAACATCTGGAAACAGGAAATCCTCTAAATTGTCCTCAAAGAATTCAATAGTTGGATTTTTTTTCCAGGCAGAGTACGGACCATGGCTACATACATTGCATGGCTATGAAGAAACCACCGCCTGATGCTTGACCTCCATTGACCAAGTACTGAAGGCGTTTGCTTGAACCACCTGCTTTCTCATATTGGAGTGACTATATTATTACATTTCGATTATTGCCTTCAGAAGGAAGTGGTGAACCTGCTAAAAAAGAAAAGTAACTTGACCTTTGCACTGAAAAATTCTGCCGTTTCACAAGAGTTTGGCTAACCATTTTTACCATAGGATCTTCCATCACTGGTTACACACTGTGCCAGGACCATACATACAGAAGTGTCGCAACAAAGGCTGCCTTTCTGGTATTTTACCCCAAAGTCTCCCTAGAGAAAGCTTGTTCTGAGTTACGCACGTAATCCCAGGTGCCTGCTTCAGTTAGGTCTAGAAACACTAGAATATTTTTGCATCTTCGTGGTGCTCTCCATGGTCTAACATTTGAAATCTGGTGTGCATTAGCGGCGTCTCACAAATTGTATTCAAAGTGGACGTTACCATTCCTGTTTCATGGACAGAGGAAGCGACTTGCACAGGGTCACAGAGGGTGTTACGTCTGTGGCAGAAGCCGTAGAGACTGGGGATTTCTAGTTTGCAGTCTTATGTGTTAACTACCAAGCAGTGTTTCTTCTTCAGTCAGCTTTGAACTCTTTCAGAGGTTTGCTCATCATTAGTAGAAGAGCAGCTTGTCTGGAAACGAAGCTCTAGACGTTAGAACTGGAATTTTTTCTCCCTTAGCTAATGCAGAATTGCTCCCTTCCCTAAACTCTCTCTGGGGCTATGTCCAGAGTCTGCTATCCATCCAGCTGGACTTCCCCAGAGGCTTATGGAGCCTGTTAAAGCTGAGCTGAGTTTGCAGTGAGCCGGGTAAAGTCATGGACTCTGGCAACTGAGTAAAATTTGACAGGTTTCCTTGAGCTTTGGACCTCATCCTCTAGTTATCAGCAGGGATCCTGGTTTTCTCTGATTAAAAAATAAATAAAAAATCCCCACTTTATTAATGAAACACTACTAATATATAGTATTTTATTTATATACGTACATACATACATAATAAGCAAGAATTTCTTATATATAAATAAAATAAATTCTCACTTATTATTTATGTATGCATATGCATGCATATATATATATATATATATATATTAGTGGTGTTTCATTTTAAGCATGAGAAACTGTGGATTTGGGGTTACATTTTTTTTAACCAAAAATGGGGATTTTTTTTTTAAATCAGAAAACCAGGATCCTTGGTTATCAGAGAGAATAAATGCTGTCTGCTGAAGCTGAATTCCCCTTTAGATCAGAAACTTGGTTATCACTAGTATTATTTCCTGAGCAGGCAGAACTACAGCCTCAGCCCATGGAAATGGAGCTTCTGATTCTTGACTGTCGCCTGCTGCTCCTCTTAATGATGCCTTCTTCACCTTTACAAAACCCCTTTATAGTGTAAACTACAGTTTACATCAGCCTGGTTAATGGGCCTCGCCAGTTAATAGCCAAGCCCTGGGGTCACCACAAACAGGAGGCAGGAAACAATAGGACGAGGGGACAGTGTCTTCAAAATGAGCCGGAGCTCTCCTCTGCATGCCTTCTTGGGAGGTCATTTTTGAGGTCTTTGCTTTACAAGCAGCATCTGGGGCTGCCAATGCAGCACTTAGGGGCCAGGATTGTGAGAGAGAGGATTGTAAGAACAGTTTGGAGACCAAATGTACCTTTTGGCTTAACCTATTTTTAATTGTAGCTGCCGTGAGTGGAGGGAGCAGCTGCTGTCGTATTTGATCTACAGGCGTGGGTGATTGAGCCAGCTCATAGATGCCCTTTCTCTGCCTCTCCCATTGGAAGTACCAGCTGGAACGAGGACAGCAGCCCTCAGTTCACTGGGGTGCTGGTACATGTTGCTTTAACAAGTGCACACAGCTAGGCTGAATTTGGCCAGGAGCACTGCCATCATGACAAACTGCATCTCCCATTCCCAAATGCTCTGGCATCCCTTATCCTGCATCACATTTATTGCATATTGTCTGGTGCCATCTACTTTTACTAGGAGCTACATGCAGCCAGGCACATAAACTGCCCAATGGACTTCCATAGGCATTTTAAAGATTCGCAAATAAAGTGCGACCTGACCTCATGGCGTTTAAAGAGTCTTCACACAACACGGGTATCTGGAAAGTTGCGGCTCCATGTTGTCCTGCCTGGTGTCCCTCCCCGTCTTGTTTTTCGTGGGGATCTCCAACTCCTGCTATGCATTTTGCTGTGTCCTTTTGCTCCTGCCATTTTGAGCTTCTGATTTTCCTCTGTTCGTTAAACTGTCTTTGTTGGGGAAATTATACTACTATAATTATCGTAATCTCTCAGCACCACAGCTTCATTAGCGTATTTATTCTCACAACAGCCCTGTGAGGTAGGGGAGTGCCGTTATCTACATTTTATTGATGATGGAACGAAGGGGCTAAATCAAGGGCTTAAGGTCCCACAAGGAAGCGGAGACAGAGCAGGGCTCTGGATGATGCCCTAACTACTGGATCATCCATTCTGTCTATGGGAGGAAACTCTTTGATTGTGGGTGTTGTGAGTTTGTTACGGATAGAAAAAGAATACATGCAACGCACTTCTTTCTGCCATCACTCCAAAGGGAATGGAGGCCTTACCATAAATACCTGAAAAAGTCCCAGGGTGACTCCTGACAGACAGCAGAGCTCTGGAAATGTTGCTGTCTGAGATGAGAGACAAGTTATCAGTCCTGGCTGGCAGCGGCCACTCCACAGTATGATGAGTTTGGCGTTTGCCCACTCAGATCAATGAATGAAATATTGAAGCTTTAGGTTAGCCAGGTAATCACATAATGCACAGAGGTGATAGAGAGCAGCAAGCAAGCGAGGCACAGAGAGGTTGGCATACGTAGCCCGCCTCTCAGTGCCTCTGCAACAGAAAAAGCACTTACTTTGTCTGCCTGTTTGAGAGGCAGCAGGGAGAAAAGGAATCTCACTGCCGTTGTCCAGACCCCCTGAAGGGGATCATCTAGCAGCTGGGGCGTGCAGCTGGGGTCTCAAAAGAAGTGATTTGGATGAAATGACAGTCTCATCAGTGCCCAGTTCTGGACTCATTTGCTCAGAGCACCATTAATTTGCTGTCAGTTTTCTGTCGCTTTTTGTGCTGGAGAAGCACTTTGGTCCCCTCACTTATTTTAGGCTTTTGCAGTATGTGACAAGCAGCCTTGGAAAAGGACCGTTTTCATGCAAAAGGATGCTCTGATAACCACGCTAATGAGGCAGTGGTAGCTGGTGAACAGAAGATGGAAGCAGATTTCCTCTGAAGTGATTCTTCTTTTCAGGGTGCAAAGCAGGGTAGCATATGCCTGTAGGATTGTAAAGCATTTTGAGATGAGTCAGGATGAAGGGAAGCTGCATGTGTGAAGGCCAGAACGGTCCATTCTGACCTTTAAATTCGATCTGCATAACCCAAGCCAGATAATTTCAACCAGCAATTCCTGCAGTGGGAGGAATCGTAGTTTCCTATTATGTAAGTGAACTCTCGAGAGCTCAGGAACCTGTGGCTGTACTAGAGGATTTCTGTTTTGAAAGGCAGCCAGATATTGATTTAATGTTTCCAAGTGATGATGAATGTACTGCTTCCCTCAGCAGCTTGATCTGGAGGTCTGTTCCCTTCCCTGCTATTAATTGTATATTATTTCCAATTTGAATTTTCTAACTGCAGCTTCCGGCAATGGGAATGCTAGTGGAATACACAATGAGACGCCTCCAACCCGACCCTCGAACCCCGCCAGCCCTTGCCCTCAGGGCAGTGAACATGCTTCTGAACAGTCCCTCGTCACTCCTCACCTCTGCTTTGCAATAGGATTAGGGATTCCTTTGCCTTAATTGAATTTCCTTTTGGTGAGGGGGAGCACAGCTACCCTGTTTGTGTTAGCCTTTGTAATCGGCAGCTGCAGAAAGAGCACGGTGGGGCTGTCCCAGCAAACTTATTTTGCAAATCCCAGAGTAGACTTGGACCCCATAGAGATAATGACACCCTTTTCCACTTCATTACAGGGGCAAATGGGATAAGCAGAAACCTTAAGGAATGTCCAACCTCTAATGCAGGGGCGGGCAATTATTTCGGGTGGAGGGCCGCCTGCTGAGTTTTGGCAAGCCCTTGAGGGCCAGGGGCGGATAAATATAAATTTCCTACGTCTTTTAGGGGTCCCGCGGGCCTAAGAGAATGGCCTGGTGGGCTGCATCCGGCCCGCGGGCTGCATTTTGCCCACCCCTGCTCTAGCAGGTTGTTGGTTGCAGCCATGCTGGTCTTAGGACGTAACCTCTAGTGCGGTTTTTGATCTGAATTAGGTGCCAGAGGGGTAAATGCATGATTGAGACAGGAGACTGTTGAACCCCTGTAAGGAGGAGGGGCCAGCACAGCTCTGTGAACGCCATTTTCGTCTTCATTTGTATACAGTTTTCAAGGAAAGGGTCCCTCATGGGATAGCATATCAGGGACTCATTAGTACGCACAGCCTGAAACATCCATTCGCTCCGCTATGGGTGATAGCGGTGTGCAGGAGTGAATGGCCAAGCAGTGGTGGACTCCTGTCTACAGCAAGGGAAGGTCGGGTATGTTGCTGGCTGCCGTGGGGTTCACGTTTGTCCCTTGCTAGAGAGCAGAAGGGCGTGTTGGCCATGCTTCGGTCCTCCAAAAAGCTGCTAGGCACATTGTGCCGCGTGTTTTTTCTCGTGATCACTCCCCTCGGAGGCAGCCTGTGTTGAAACAAAACAAATGTCTTTTTCTGGGCGGCGGACGAGCCAGAGGATACTCACTTTCCCTTCCACGGAGAAACAAAAATAATCAGTAGGCTAGTAAAAATGCCTCCCCGGAGAGCAATAGGCTCGCCAAACAACAGCTGAGGCTGTGTAAATGATGATGGATTCGAGCTACATGGAGCTTTCCTGTCTCCCCAGCACAGCAGGTGGCCTGCTGCTTTATCATGGAGTTATTTGTGTCCGTTTCCCTCCAGGGTTGGGGTGTAGGGGCGAGTGACATTAAAGCTGTCAAGATCACCCCGTCTCCCCAGGACTGGATTAGAGAGTCCGTTAACACCATGACTAATCCTGCAGCTGGTGCCTACCCAAGCTCTAGAGGTGGCTAATTGAATTTAATAGCTTTGGGTGGCCCTGAGCTGAGAAGTTTGGGTCCAGATCTGAAGGTCTGGTTGGGTCCCGTTTCTATTGACTGAGCCTATATAAAGCAGAGATGGCTGCATTGAGGTCAGGGACCAGCATTCAAATTGTTCTCTGATTCTGCACGGGGGAAGGCAAGCGGGCAGGCAGGCAGGCCTTCCCTTCTGCCCAGATCTGCCTCCAGTTTGGGGTAGTTTAAAAGAGTTTTCAGAGTTGCATGCAGTATCTGGCACTTTATCGGCCCCACGTCCCAAATGACCCGTAGCCAGATTCAAGTCAGGTGGAAGTAGCGGTCCTGTTCACTGTGCAGATTTTTCTGCCCCTTTGCCAGTCCCCTAAACGAGCCGTTCTTGAATCTTTAGCTGTGTTTAAAGCTGCGCATAAATCCTGCAGACACCAGGGGTTGTCGAAAGTCTCTGAAGGTCTTTATTTATGAACTGCGTGCTGCTGTCGGCAATAAATAACTTTAATTACAGTAAATACAGTAAGTTTACAAGGTTTCCTTTTTAGTTTTCTTAAAAAAATAGTGTACAACAAATTATCAAGAAGAAAACTGTCCCTGTCCATTGAAATCAGATTAAAATATTCACAGCAGAGGGTTTATACAGATGAAGGGGTAGCATCGCAGGTTTTGCGCAGAGGAGATTTGGGCTCTTGAGTGATTCGTTGAGAGCGATGCCTGTATCATCCAAATGATTCGTTGGGCCAACCTCCCTCCAGTACAAGATCCCAGAAGGTTTGTTTCTGCTCTTTTGGAAATTGGAGGTTCTCTGGCTTCCCACCTAGGTAGTTGCTGCAGACTTTAGCCCAGTGGATATAATAAAAAACACAATATTTGTCAGTGAAAATCCAATAGCATCAGGTGGAAGATGATGGCATATTAAACATCAACACATCACAGCTGTGTAGTGTTTTGTGGTACTCCTCACATGTCCCTTAAGCCTCACAATACCTGAGCGAGGCAAGTACGGTTACCGATGAGTAAGTCAGGCCCAGCAAATGCAAGAAACTGTCCTCAGGGAGCCAGAAGCAGTGCTGGGAACGGTACCTTGGCAAGTCCTGCCTCCAAGTCCCGTAACCTAATCCCTAAACCACACAGCCATGCCAATTAAGCAGAGAGGATTCCTAATGAGGCAGGAAATTGGTTTCTAGTGTAATGCAAAGGTGCAAGTCTAAGCCATTCATTCACCCTGGTTTGAAGCCCAAGTTTTCTCCTCCGGCTTTGAGCACCTTTCCCTTTAACTCCACCTTGACAGAGCAGTAGGCAGGTTTTTTTCCCTTTGTCACACCCTCTCCCTTGGATCCCTTCCTCTCCCCTTTGGGTGGCTTTGGCCCAGCTACAGGGGCAGTATTGCGAGTTTGGATCGGTGTGTGTGTGAATCGCGTGTTACCTAAAATCCTGGTTAACTAACGCACGGTAAAATCCCGGTGTGGACAAAGCATAACTGGCTGCCATGTGCTAAAGTTACATATCTCCTGCCCTTGTCTGCCTGTATCCTTAGACCAACACAGCTACAACCTAAACCCCTGCATATCTCCTGCCCACACTTGACTTTTCACCATGTGTTACCTGACTGTCCCTGCAGCCGCTGAGCCTGAAAGTGGCCCTTTTCCCATGCCAGCGTGCCAACAGGCCATTTTTCTTCCCGCTCGTCCTGCTTCTCACCTTCACCCATGAATGGTATGTCATCCTGCTTCTCTGTGGGTCTTTACACCCTCCTGCAGCCTTTCCTGCTGTGCTGCTTCTGAGGCTCAACACCGAACAAAAATCCTCAAGACAATCAAAACTCATAGTTAGCAGAAGCTGACTGAAAAGTCCATTTGCAGCAACTGTGAGGCCCTGTCTCTGTGATAGTCAAAGGGGTGACTGCAGTTTGCGTTTGCATACTTGAGCTAGCTTGAAACCACCTGGGTTGGCTAGTGATAGCAATGTAGCCTGGCAGCGTGAAGCCAAGTCCTGGCTAACTGCCCTAATAGTTCCCCAGGGTCATGGTCAGGCTTTGCAGCCTCTGCTGAACGTGGTGCTTCTGTAGCTACACCATGGCTGGTACCTGAGCTAGTTCAGATATGTTTATACAGAGCTGCTGTTGCCCCCGTTACTTGCACTGGAGCCTTACTGAGTCACAGCAGTTTGTGCTTTCAGTCTGTGAAATGTGCACTAATGAATGAGACGTTGGGCTAATAAAAGGTAGCATTTTGGAACCAAGAGCTCTAGTGTTTTGTATGTGCTGT